TTCTCACCGTCTGATCACCCCCAAAATGTGAGACAACATAGAGGATCCAACCAGCTTTCTAATGCACTTGGTTTGGAGACAATCCAACGGTTAGATCTTCAGATACTCCCGATGCAAGAATGACAGAAAATGCAGTTCCGGAAGAGAGCCATGTGCCGGGACCGCGGCCAACACCCATTTTCCCGTGGGTAGAGCTACTGCGACCGCGGACATTGGTCGTTCACTTTCCCGACAACTTAATTAAAGCCCAGATCGATTCCTCTCGTTATTTTTGAAGCCCTAAGTGTCCAGAACCACCCCAGAAGCTATAAATACCCCCTTTAGGTCATTCCTAAAGGTGAGGAGACGACATAAGATAGAAAGAGAGAGAGATTTCGTGTGGGTGCTTCACAAACCCTAGGAGCCGCCGCCCTTGAAGGAGGAGCCGCCGCTGGAGGAAGACATCGCGCCTCCATCTGCTTCTCCGTTCTTCGTTTTTCTTCCTTCTTTTCTTTAATTTCCTGCACTTTCAATACTTTATGATGCTTTGTTACAATATGTTTGAGTAGTTACCCAGTTGGGTTTAAAGGGATTGTTCAAAGGGAATTTCATGTGTATTTGTTTATGAATCGATAGATTTAGGATTTAAAATCTTCTAGATGTTCTTCGTTTGCCTTTAATCTTACTGCGTGATTCTTTGCTGGCCACTTAGAAGCCGATCTGACATGATATGTTGCGAAAGCTTTCATTGATTGTCTGAACTAGGGTGAAACGAGCAATTCTTCTATAGGAGTGGAAACCTACCTGTAGTTGAGTTGTGAATATTGATGAGTCTTGTTCTGCTATTGCATCTTCTCCCTTCCAGGATCAGAGTGGAAACCTACTGATCAGGGTTGCGAGAGATAGTTGTTTAGTGCTGCGAAAGTAGGCTATTCATACTTTCGTGCCTCGAGTTCTAGAACATACGTAGTTGATTACCTTTATCACTTGTTTAAAATTGACATAGCCTAGTCCATGAACCCCTGCGAATTACCCTTGAGCCCCAACGTTTGTCTTTCATTGCTTACAACCTTAGATTTCCATTCTACTTTTATTCGCTTGTTACCTGCTTTCATTCATAGCCGATTTTTACTTGTTTGCACTTGCTTTCGTTTTTATTTGCTTTTACTTGCTTAGCTTTCTAGTTTAGATTTAGTGACAACCAAAAACCCAAATTAAACCAAAACCAAAACCTGTTTAGTTCTAATCTGATTTAAGCGTTGCAGTGAATTCGTATTGAAACAACTAAGTCTCTGTGGATCGATACCCTAAGTACTACAGCGCACATCTGTGCACTTGCAGACATTTAGGGGTTATAAATTTAAAACCAGAAGCTTAGTAAAACGAAAACAACAAACCCCGTTTACAAACCGCAATCAACCGCGGGTCGAAGAGCTTGAACCGTCAAGGAACATGAATCGCGGGTCGAAGAAGAGGTTCCAGACAAGGCTCTTATCGTACCAGACGGCCCAATGTTAAGGACCGTACTATCCTTATGACCGTGGTTCAGTCTGTGTTTGGTTCGTGGGTCGGGAGTTCAAGAGTCAAGTTCGGCCGAGTATGTGAAGAGACATTCAAAGGCAGTCGAATAGTTTTTCAACTCTTTTATTATTTCTTTGACTTTATTTATTATTTTTTTATTTCCTAAGCATGACCCATGGTCTGCCCTACCTTCTATATAAGCGCATTGTACTTAGAATTTTCGGACACATCTTTTATCAAATATTTTTGAGTTTTTCTCTTTTGTTCTTTCAGAACTTTATCGATTTCTCAGTGGTTAGCCATTAGATCACTTCGGTTTATCAAGCTCTTTTCACCGAGTTTGACGCAGCCTTCACTCACAAATGACTATGGATTTCCGTAGTAGTAATCGGGGCTTAGGAATTTTCAGAACACACTCTTTCTCATGCCTTAACGTCCATTACTGCGACCTCTCTTTTCTTTTGTTTCCACCCCCTTGTTTTATTCTTTTCTTTGCGATTGGGCCTAAGGATTTTTGGGACTTGTCTCACACCTTAACATCTTTCACATCGGATCGATAAGTCAAGGATTATCAACCTCCGCCGGATCAAGTGTGTGACAATCTTTAGGAGATCTTATCATATTTGGAAGGCGCGGAACGAGAAAAGTGTACTCAAATAAGGATATAGATCTACAGAGTAATTTAAAAATTGCAGAAGCAGAAGCGACATTATGGGAGGAGGCCCCAAGGTCTAACAAGGACCCAACTTCCACTAGAAATGGTACGTCCCCGTCATTGTCAACACCCGTGGGGTATGGAGGATGGTGGTGTTATATTGATGGCTCCGAGAAAGATACATATGCAAAAGTGGGATTAGGATGGTACTCTTTTCATGAAGGGACTACTGAAAGAGTAAGGGGTACTCAAAATGTAAGACGCAGTCTTACGCCACTGCATGCAAAAACAGAAGCTCTACTTTGGGTTATGCATTGTATGCTCGAGAACCAGAGAACGATAATAGCTTTTGCAACGGACTGTTCAGAGTTGGTGAAGATGGTGTCTACACCGAATAATAGCCAGCTTTTGCTCTATATTTGGAAGAGATTGGGAAGATGAAGGACAGATTTAGTTTCTTCCTTTTATCACATATTCCATGCGAAAAGAACTCGAAAGCGGAAAATCTAGCAAGAAGTACTCATATCTACTCTCAAAACGTGATCTATATAAACTCGGTACTACCGGTTTGGCTTATCGAACTGTTTTAGCCTTTTAAATGCTGTGAGGCTTTTGAAAAAAAAAATGCACGAGAGAAGCCATAGAGAATCATTTTACAAAAATCAGAAAATCTTTGAGTGGCTTGAGTGAGATATGACAATTATGAGAAGAAGTAACTCGTCAACAGCAAATATCTATAAAAAAAAATAACTAATTCTGTGACCCACACATTCCACAGGTATGAAAGGTCATTCACTGACCCAAATTGATTTTCGAGTCAACCTTTTTTTGTCCTAAAACGTAGCGTTTGAAGCTTCCGTTTCAAGAAGCTAAAGAAGGCAAGGCCGAACAAAGTTCCGAAAGAAAACGTAAACCACTAATTTTGTGGTTGTCTATAACCACCTTTTGTCTTTCAAACCCTGGGTTGTGTTCTTGTAGAGAATTTTGATCATCTGTGTCAGTTAAAAACATGACATGTGTCTAATTAATTTGATGTGGAACAAGAGCGGATCTAGAAAATAATTCTTTATGGGGCCCCATATATAAACACTAAAAATAATTTAGATAGTTAAAATATATATTATGATTATCTGAATGTATTACATAGACTATTATAATTTTACTTTTATTTTTGAAATTCTAAAAATTGAACCAACGTAAAAATGTTTGTTGAGTACAAAAAAACAATGAAAGAACAATGGAATGACTTATCCTTAGGTGAGAAAGGAGCAACCTTATAGCAGTGAAACCAATTTAGCTAAAATAATTCTTACAGCTACTTAATTATATATTGTTTATAAGATTTAGTATGGGTGCACCCACCTCCAACGTGGATCCGCCCCTGTGTGGCGATAAAGAAAAAAATGTTGATGTATTAATACGAATTACATGTGTAATAATGTCTTTTGATTGTATTTTGAATTTTGATAGATTATGTTAACGTTTTCAAATGAGCTTTTGTTGAGAACAATGGCTTGAGATGTCACTTATTTCTAGTTTCTTTAGTATTATAACGCTAAAATTTTATTCTTTAAATATCTAACAACTTCGAAAAAATGAGCGTGTACAGTAACCAAAGTGTTACAACCTGATAAGTCAAAACACTAATGAAAGTACAAATAAGTGACACATGAGACCAAACTCCAAACGTTATTTTTTTCAACAATTTATCTAAACATGCTATTGATGCATATTGTTCATGAAATGGGCTACTCCTCAACGTCATCGTTATTTAAATGTCTTGAAAGAGCTCTATTGCTATTTCGTGAGACGCAGGCCAGGCTTAGAGAGAGTGAAACTCATCACTGGAAATGAAGCATTATGGCAAAGAAAAGTTTGATTTACCCTTCCATGATATATATTTTGTCTGTGATAGTAGGTATTAAAACACTACTCTTAGGAGCCATAACTTTTATCAATGCAAAGGTAGAATCGAGCAATATTGCTTCGAAAATAGTATTGTCTTCTTGTGTAGCATAGTCAGTATCTAGATATTGATATGGAACACTTAATTACGGTTATATAATAGATCTTATAGTAAAACATAAACTGTGTGAATTTTAACCTACTATAAATTTCTGAGGACTTTTAATAATGGTATCAATTTTGAAATAACGTATCATCAAACTCGATAGCATAGATATAAATATGGGAGAAGTTAACGTTAAAATGAAATTTTAGATCATGAGATCCTTTTCTATCAAATAGGAAAGACTGTTGAAAAAATTTACTTATATAAGTAATTTTCACATAGATCCTATATTTATATCCAGTATAAACATTTTCTAGATTTGCCACTGTTCAATCGTTTTTCTATGGTAACAATTAACTCTCATTCCTCCTCATTATTCTCTCTTTTATCACATGTGTTTCATATTATATCCCGCTCAATTTTTTAAGCTATTAACATGATCTGTTTTTAGCTATTATCTTGTAAGCTTAAAATGATGTCTCTTTTGGAAAAAGATCAGGAAAATATGATGAATACAAAAGAGTTTAAAGGGAAAAATATTGAATCATTTAAATCTTTTTTTTCTTAACTACATTTTTCTTAAAATGTTACTATCTAACGTTCTTTATTTCAAATCCCTTATAGAAAACTGGCAAGCTTAAATAATTTCCATAGATACTAAGATTCACATATATACAGCCAATATACACTTTCCTAAAACATTGAAATGTATATACGTGAGGAGCATTCCAGAAAACCCATTATGAGTATCCTCATAACTTAGCAAATCAAGTATCACTTATGACTTTAAATATTATAGAAATTGTTCAAACCAAACAAAGCAGATCATCAACAATGGCATCATCGTCACAAAGATTTTTTCGACTCTTAGCTCTTTTCGTAGTCACACTAAAGCTTTGTAACTGCCAAAATGTCACAATAGATGCTGACGGCTGGAGCTACGCCGGTGTAACTTGGTACGGTGAACCTGGCGGCGCCGGTAGCACCGGTAAGTATATATAATAACCATATTATACAACATATTTTGAAGAGAAATGTGATATAGATATATGTTATTTTCATTCATATATAGGAGGAGCTTGTGGATATGGTTCGGCAGTTGCCAATCCACCGTTTTACGCAATGGTTTCAGCCGGAGGCCCTTCACTGTTTAACAATGGCAAAGGATGTGGAACATGTTATCGGGTTCGTTCTTATTAATTTTTTTTTTTCTTTTTTGGTTTTATAAAGCATTGGAGACTTTGGAGTTTCGGGTCTTTGGTTCATAATCTCTCATAGTACCTAGAGTCAACTTTAAAAAATGACCTCCGTCCTAAAGAGGAGTTGAACCGGGACAAACTAACTAACCCCTTATGTTACAACTTCGCCACAACCTCTTTGGTTAGTTCGTATTAATCTTAAATCCCTATTTTAACATAAGATCCATGTAATTACATACAATATACTCAATAAAAATGTAATTATGGATTGTTGTCAGCAGGCAAGCATAGGCTTGCGGCCTTTATTTTAATATAAAAATTTTGACCATCAAAATGCAAAAAGTCTTTCTTAGGACAGTGGTAAATGTAGGAGCTTAACACCTTAAATTCATGAGCTTGATTCTCATGAAATGGTTTTCTGTTTTTTTTTTTAAAATAAAACCAACTCAAAACTCAAAACTAGTAGACGTAAACCAACATAAACCAAGGGAAAAGGCAATAGTATTATACAAATCATGACAAGTTCAAATAAGTAATTATAAACGGCCCATTTTTTTCTCTAACTTGCAGCCACTTAAAATTTAGGACCGGCTCTGGTGGTCAGGCAGAAAGATTTAGGTTTGGAAGACGTACGTGTGTGCAAGTCTGAATTTGTCATAACGTTACAAATATTTAATGTTTTTCAACCATGTTTCTAAAAATATATTAGATTGCATGCCTCGAGAATCCAGCCTGTTCGAGGATTCCAAAAAGGGTGACGATAACCGACGAATGCCCAGGGGGTCCTTGCGCCTCCGAACCGGCCCACTTTGACCTTAGCGGCAAAGCCATTGGTGCCTTAGCCAAACCTGGCCAAGCCGATCAACTTCGAGCCGCTGGTGTTCTACGTGTTGTTTACAGACGGTACGTATAAAACAGATAAAACTTTATGATGTTTCTCTTATAACGTCCAATCCAATCTCTGGTTTTGAAATGGATGCTTTGCTTTTTGTTCGTATTCGTTACTAAATTTGGTTTTGATATGTCATATACATTGCTTTTTCAATTTCGTTACTTTTTATGATTTTATCATTTAAAACATTCAAGAAGATTTCACTAATTTTTAATGCTTTGTAGAGTAATTCTGACGTATTAAAAGTATATGAATCGAAAGATTTGAAACATAAATTTATTAAAATCGATAAAATATTGAACGAAATTGTATCCTTTAGCTATTATGATAATATTTAGAGAAAAATACAATAAGTTTTACATGTAATTAAATTAAAACCCAACTTTATATTAATTTTATCGTGTTGTTTTCAGTGTTCCGTGTTCATATGGAGGAACTACTATAGCTTTCCATATTGACGCCGGAGCAAATCCGTACTATGTGGCATTTATTGTCGAATACGAAAACGGCGACGGAGATTTTGCCTCCGTTGAGATTCAACCGGCCGGCAGAAGATTTATCCCCATGCAAGAAATGAGGTCCGCCGTGTGGAAGGTAAATTCCGGCAGTGCTCTGAGCGGTCCGTTCAGCATCAGACTTACTTCCGGCGAATCTCGTAAAGTAGTCGTCGCTCATGCTGTTATTCCGGCGAATTGGAGGGCCGATGAAACTTATCGGTCGATTGTTAACTTTTAAGATTTATATTATTTTTTTTTTATTTGTCTCATTTCTTCGTGCGCTCTAGTCAAAATACTAGAGAGAAAGATTATTGAGCCCACTAATTACTCGATTATTTTTATTCTTTGCAATTAGTATCAAGCGAATTTTTTATTGTAGTTTGTACAATTCCATAATCCACTAAATTAGGACCGCACGATACACATAAACAATTACAATAGTTAGATTTTCAAATTGATAATTAGTATAATTATGATCTGTATAACAAGATTCTATATTAAAATATATGTTTAGTTGTTCTGAAACTGTGTTTTGAAAACCGTAATTAAGAAAATCGAGGGTCGATTCACATTATACCAAAAAATCGCGGGAAGCAATCTTTGTAAGCGAATGATACAAAACGTTTCAGAAATACATAAAAATTACTTTTTAGAAACTTAACTGTTCTTACATATTTGATAACTTATACATAAGACCATCTCCAAACTCCATTTTCACTTTCAAACTCCATTACAAAATAAAATATTTTCTAATCCTACTCTATTTTCACCTCCAAATGGATGAATAGTACAACTCTATATATGAAGTTACACTATTCATCTTCCCTCAACTATTATATCTTATCATCTAAGTTTTAAACAAAAGTTTTATTATTTTTACACAGAAATTTTATTATAAATAATAAAATTAGATATTTAGATTATGAAATTTTCTTAAAAAAACCATAACATATATATAAATAGAAAAAACAATAACACACTAATTTTAATATTAAAATACATAAAAATAGAAAAAATACAATAATAAATTAACTTTAAAATTAAAAATATAAAATAGATAAAACGCAACAATAAATTAGTAGTCACGTAAACCACATCCAGATGCACCAAAATCATTAAAATATTATCCAAATTAAAATAACATGTCTAATTTTATTGATATAACCTACAAAATAAAGTTATTGAGTTCAATTCATAAGTTTTTGACAAATAAAAGGGTATAACTACAAATAATCTATAAATTTAGTGGAAAGAGAATATATTTAATATTGGAAAATGGTTAGAGAGAAACCAACTCCATTTATGGAATAAAAAATGGAATAATGGGTTGCAAATGCTCTAAAGGATTCCAATGACAAAATTCAAATGTGTAAACTCACTTGTAAAAAACCAACTATAAATTGAAACATAAATTTCTTACCACACACAATAACAATATATTATGAAAATATATATCAACACAATAGAACATAACACATTATTATACTAACTATCATACAAATTAAAAATCAAAATATCTTGATCAAATTCATAGTCACAAGGAAGGAATAAAATTTGTATATAGATTCTATATTCTTCTAATTTCATAAATGAAATTTTCAAGATTTTTATAGTTTCCTGATTCCCATTATATAGTTTCTATTTTTTCTTGCTCAGCTTCTTTTTTTGAATTTATAGTTTTCATTTTAAAAACCATAAACTTCTATGCCCTTGTTGGTTATCTTTTTCTTTTGAGAAATAAATCTTATATATGATAGCAGAGTCTTTTCTCCATCTTGAGTGTTCACATCAACAAATAAAAATTAAACGAACAAATTAAAACAAAAATTAAAACATAAGAATTTTTTTTAATACAGATTGAATGAACATAACATTATATTATTATATTAACAAAGAGTTAAAGGAACAACAAATACTTTTTAAGAAATAGAAAAACCAGTTAGCACGGTAAAATATATTAAATAGATAAGCAAAAAAATTTCTAATAGTTACAAGTTATTTAAAATAAGAAAATATTACAAACTAATTTTAATAATAAATACAAAAATTAAATGGTTTTTACTTAAACTAAAAATAATTATTTTCCAAAAAAAATTTAGACAATTTTTGAAGTTTTTAAGTTACATTTTTGGGTCAACAAGTTACACACTGTTAAAAAATTAATCAAAATTATGTGTAGCTTAATTAATAATATCATATAGATGAAGAAAAAATATTTGATAAGAGAATTTTGGTTTTTTCAAATAGTGAGGTTAGTGTGCAAGATTTAAAGGTGAAATCTGATGTCTAGTAGATAAAAACGGGTACAAAGATGAGAATAAATCTGTAATAAGCATATTTGATAAATTGTCAGTACAATTCGGTCATAAAGTTCCTGATACAACATAAAACAAGCTAAACAGTTTTTAGGAATATCAAATATTGGCAGCATAGGGTACTATATAGGACTCTCGGAGAGCCTTGGAAGAGCAAAGAGTAAAATCTTTAACTATGTAGTAGAGAGACAACAAGATAACGTAAATGGTTTGAGCTCGAGGTTTTGTTAAAAGGGAGCAACGATGTTTTAATTAAATCAGTGGCATCAACAATGTCCATTTTTGTTATGCCATGCTTTCATATTCGTTATGTCATGCTTTCTTCTACCCAAAGAAATCACAAAATTAACTAGTGTGGTGTTTCATTATTGGTGGTCTTCAAACGATACTCAAAAAAAGAATGTACTGGTTGGTGTGGCACAAAATATGTAGAGGCAAATCATAAGGAAGAATGGGTTTTTGAAATTTGGTTGATGTTAATACAGTATTATTAGAAAAACAGATATGGCGATTAATAGACAAACCCCAATATTTTTTCACAAGAGTTTTTAAAGGGCGGTACTTTCAGAAATCGAATCCCCTTGATCCTATCAGATCGTATTCCCGTCATACGGATAGCGTAGCATTATCTCGGCACAATCTCTGGTTATTAAAAGGCTAATAAAAAGAGTAGGTTTTGGTACTTCCATCTCGGTATGGAACGACTCTTGGATACCTTCTTCTCATCTGAGATCTGACATATGTAAGGGTTATAACCATTTGATTGACCCAGCAAAAAATACGTGAAATCTTTATTTAATTAACACAATTATTGAACCAGCATATGTCGAAATAATCCATAGTATACCTTATAAATAGTACGTATAAATCAGATTCGCTCAGTTGGCATTTTACAAAAAACGGACGTTATACGGTAAAATTTGGTTATTAAGTAGAGAATCAATATGCACAGTGAAACCACTCGATGGTTTATGGACCGGATATAAAAAAGTTACAAGCACAAGCATGGCATCAGAAATATCGATCGAAACTAAGACAATTCATTTGGCAAGCTACTACTGGATGCTTGCCAATAGCTAAGAATTTAAATAACTGAGGAATTCAACGTGATACACAGTGTTTTCGGTGTGGAGAAGAGGAGAAAATGATTAATTATGTACCTTTTAAATACATACCAGCGTTACATGTGTGGGCTCTATCTCAAATATATACTCTTGCAAGATATAAATCTCTATTTAAAAATATAATTTTTCACGACACTCAAGATATAAATCTAATATATGATAATAAATTTGTTTTTTAATTAATTTATATCATTACATTGACACATATTGATTTAAGTAACAATAACATATATCATGTTTTGATAAATAATAATTATCTTATGTTTTTTGTTTATGTTGAACGCATTCAACTTTATATCTTACTAGATTTAAGACCCAAGTGATACATAAAAATAAAATATTGAAACTCTTAAATTAAAAATTACAATTCATGTTTAGACTCTCAAATATTTGAATATAATTATATGAACTGTCTAGATATATTCTAATTAAGATTTATGTTTAGTTATCTAAAAATTACGTTTCATAAATTGCAATTTGGCTGTAAAAAAAAGGAGAAACTGCAATTAGAATTCTAATGTGAGCTGCATCTCCTCATATCGATAAGTTAAAAAAAATATTTGGTTTGTTACCAAAACTTCCATAATTAAAATATAAAATTTGATAATAAAGGAATAAAAAATGATCAGAAAAACATCATAACAACATAGAGAACCAGCGACTGAACTTTAGGAAGGAGGGCATAAGAGGAACCATCAGTTATTATAAAATATCTTAAATAACATATTTTAAAAACATCTCATTATATATTTATATGAATCTAGCTATATTTAAACAGAGGGGTGGTGGTTCAAAAAATTGGCCGTCTGTGCTAGGTGGTCATGTAGGCGGTGGGAAACTGTGATTTATGCCTAATTGGTCACTTTAGGCGTTTTTCCGATTTGTTTCTGTCTAGCTCTGATATTTGGACAATCGGTCCAGTTTTGGGAAATCTATCATATTTGGCTGATCACCTGATGGATTTATCAAGAAAAATGTTAAAATTCGTGAATGTGATAAACTTGGAAAACAAAAGTTAGGGTTAACTCGTTCTTCATTTAGTGTTGGATATGGGCTGAGCACGGCCCCTATTTGATAATTTAGCGTCAATAATTCTTCTTTAAGGTCCAAGCGATATTGAATGTCCGCCATAGAAGCTAAAACGAAGCCGTTTTCACAGAGACATTTTACGATCCGAGTCATCAACTCGTCACCGCGACATTTTGTAAGGCGGTCGGGCAGATAGACCTGACCGACCATTAAGATACTCTGCCCTGATTTAACTTGTAGTATAAATAGCCCTGTAATTTCATTTATTACAGAATCAGATTTTCACCACAGAGCAATTAATACAAGGAATTCATAATTTTCTAAGTATTTACTCGACTTCTACTTCGCATAAATTACCTCGCATATATCCTCTTTATCGAGCTGAAACTCATCAAACAAAGAGCTCCGAGCTCTACCTCTCATATTACCATTTTACCTCTCTCGTGCGTATACGCTACTACAATTGGCATCCACCGTGGGGCTCAGAGATTTCTTTCCATGCAAAGAGTAGCTTGATAATATCAGGAACTCCAAAGACATCAACCAAAGCTAAGATCGGACCAACAACATCGATGGTTGCAGAAAAGACAACAAACACGCCATCAAGTCACGTTAAAAATGTCACGAACAACGAGTTACCAGTATCGAATCCAATGGAGAACGACGGGGCCCCAGCCCACCAAGCACCCGACATCGGTCCAGCAGCACCTGAATGCGTCGATGTAGCCACAATACTCGAAACCATGATGGCTAGGATGGAGGAGCTAAAA